TATCTATCTATCTATCTATCTATCTATCTATCTATCTATCTATCTATGGAGCAGAAACTACATTGTGTCAAGTGACTCATTTACATGAATGATCAAGAGTGTTACATAGATTGATGAAGTGATCTTGTATGCATCCATCCATTAGCTATACCCAGTAATAACTGGGCACCAGCCCCCCGGTGACGCTATAAGGAATACCTTATAGGGTCACCGGGGGGCTGGTGCCTATCTCAGCTGTAACTGGGATAAAAGACAGTTTGGAATTTTACCAGGTAACATACATGTAAAGGCCATATTTTTTCCTTATATTATTACATAACCTCATGCAGGGCTTTATGAATGTCATTTTAATTGCTGAGTTGGTATTCATTCTTCAGCCAGGTTTGAGGAAACACGGTTAATCAGTATTCTGGTATATGCACAGGCTTCAAAGCAAACAATACTGTATATCCTAAACACACAGAGACACTGTGATGGTGCAGCCAACACTAGTGCCTCGTTGTGTGTGTTGACAAAAGAAAGAAGCAGCCGGATTATATCTGAGAGATGCAGAGTAATATTTATATAGCATAATGGTAACACTGTGAAATGGTAGGTCAGGGGTTGGAATCCCAACCAGGGCATCTCTCCATGAAGGATACCCCAGCAAAAGGGGTTACATGAAGAAAATGTTTGACCTATGGCCTTTTTGATAGCCTAACGCTGAAGCAATTAGCAAATGAGTTTTCCAACGTCCGCAATAAAACTGCGGATTGATAAGGTACAATACAAATACCATGGACACAAGGTCAGCATCAGTTCACCATCATACCCCACTCAGAGATTGGTTACCAAGCTCAAAGTACAACTGGTACAATCAATACCAGATCACCCAACCTGCAAGAGAAGATAAAGGGATCCTCTGTTGTTTACTAAGTGAAGAATATGGCATAAAAGGAAAATCCATAACCAGCTCATATACACAACAGCAGAAGTGCTCCAAGAAAGGCTTGGCTATAAGTTTAACAGCAACATGGAGCAGTAGGAGTAGAAGGACACTAAGATTAAGGTAGTACAGAGCTGCAGAAAGGTGTGATGAAGAAGATGACTGAGAAGTACAACAGGCTGTCCCCATCCGAGGTGTTGGAAACTGCCAAGCAAAACTCACAGCCTTGAC